CTGAGCAGAGCGTGTGAAACAGTGCGGAAGTAGCTAGTGATGATATACAGTCGCTTCTCATGCTTTGTGCGGGTCCGACACCAAAGGCAAGTACCAATGTGACTTTTCCGAGTTACATGTACTTTCTAAGATTATTTTGATACCACTGACAAACGGTGAAGGAAAACATCGTGAGGAAACCTGGGCTTATAACTTGTGATTGTAATTATAAGTTTAAATCGCCAACCCGCTTTGAGCAAGCATGGTGATTAATGTTCTAACCTTCTCTGCGTGATCAAACAAAATATAATTTAAAAGAACAAAATAAGTAAGTTATAAAACATTGACTTACATGAGGTCCCCAAGAAAGCGACGAGGAGAACGACGGATGCTTTGCTCAGGAACATGTTTGCTGTGGATGGCGAGATGGCGACTGTGTTCTGAAGAGCTTCGGGTTCGCTTAAATATGTTGGTGGCATGCCTAATATCTAAAACAAAAACAAGATAGTTTAACCTTGATGGGATTTCCAAAGTAGAGACTGATAACTGTAGTATGAATGTGACATACATATTAGTGATTCAATATGAAAAACTTCAGGGTGTCGATGGAGCATTTTTTTTTTAAGGGTGGAAAATCATCGAATGACTGCTCCCGCCTGGGTGAGGCGGAAGGGAGTGTCAGACTCTTACTGACTAAAAACCACCCCGTTCCTTCTCCTGCACGTCGAGCCGGAGCCCCGGTTACCCGTTAGGTTCTCCGCGACTCCGAATCGGCATCGGCCCTATTGGACCCCATCTGTGGTGGTCTGATGGCTAATTGAGGCGCGCGCGGAACGCTACGCGCCGTACGCTCGGGTCTGTTTCTGGTCGGACGGGGAGCCACCCATGCTCGCCGTCCGCAGGCCCGCGCTTACGGTGGCCGGAGATCGTCCCGCGATCCCCGACGCCTGGTGTGTCCTTCGCGATGGCTGGGTTGCGAAGAGGCAGCGCTTCGCTGCCTCACGTCGATGGAGCATACAGTGGCGATCTGCATGGACTGAGCATCGCTGTGTCCTCAACGAAGCAAGCTGGGCTTTAGTGCAGGCTGTATTGCGGGTTTTTTACTGGATAAGGCGGTAAACGAGCTGAAGGATCACCTGATGGTAAGCCATCGGCGTCGCCCATGGATTCCCGAAGCACAACGCTTTCCTGTGAGTGTTGTTTCACTTAAGTGGTGTGGGGAAGTAAGCAACCGTATTCACCTTCTCGAAGCAGTCAAGATAGCTAAGGAGTAGGGGGAGCGCATAAGAAAACGGACTTCCTCATATCCATCGCCATAAGTGACGTTCTATACACACCATAAGCGAAGGTCTTTGGATTTTTAATCTTTTACCTTGAGAATATCAGAATGCACCATACAAACTTCCACCCCCTATTTGAAGTGTGAAGATAGTGGAAGTGATAAGTTATAAAGAGTCAAAATGTAACCTATGTCACTCTCCATCCGTTCATCTATCTGTTTTGCGGTGAAAGACGGACAAACAAACAGACACACACTCTCACATTTATTCTGTAGTACGGAAGTATATCAAATTCAGTGTTTGTTAGTCTTATCATTATCAGCAGTCTGTTTTTGTACTAATACTTTGTATATTGTATAGAGAATATTGGGGCTCGTCCTTACAACATTATAAAAACAATTCCAGGTCAAGTAAAGTCAATGTTTTAGGTCTTTAGATTAATCATTGTAATTATTTTTATACAAATGTATCGCGTAGTAGTCGTGGTGGCCCGGAGGTTTAAGACGCCCGCTTCTCATGCATGAGGCACCCTCAGGGTTCGAAACCTACCAACGGCAAGTACCAATGTGACTTTTTCCGAGTTATATGTACTTTCTAAGTTTATTTAGACACCACTGACAAACGGTGAAGGAAAAACATCGTGAGGAAACCTGGACTTATAATTTCTAATTATAAGTTTGAAATCGCCAACCCGCATTGAGCAAGCGTGGTGATTAATGCTCTAACCTTCTCCGTGTGAGAAGAGGTTTTGCTCAGCAGTGGGCATTTATAGGCTGTTGATGATGATGATGATGAAATGTATCGCGGCCATAAGCGCGTGACTTTGTCCGCATAGAATAATTATGAATTTTTAAACATAACTTTTGTGTTTCAATATTTCAAAAAACTTACGCCATTACAGATAGACAGACAAAAATGATAAAAATCGTTACTTTGATATAACATAACGTCACGCCTTTTATCCCCGAAGGGGTACGGGGGGTCGGACAAAGCATTATTCGGTTTTTTAAAAATTCTCAGTTGTAGCACGGAGTCTGGAATTGTGCCCGGTATATGGCAATAGGCTCACCCCCTATTACATGGGACTCATTACATAAATCGTGAAAAGTGGATGTTACATTGTACAGTGGCATAATGTACACCTCTACCTTCGGGGATAAAAGGCGTAATGTTATGTGTTATGTTATTCCAAAAAACTTAATAATAGTAGCCTATGTAACTCCTTAGTACATCAGCTACTTGCTAATAAAAGTCGCGTCAATATCGGTCCAGCCATTGCAGAGATTAGGCAGTACAAACAGATAGATAGACAAAAGTCGTTTGTCAATTTTGTTGGTAGATGTCCTGCGCTACATTTGCCGGTACGTGGCCTCCACTCGAGGACCTTACTGCCCCAGCAGCCGTCGGTTATCCAAGCTATGAGGGCAGTTGGCATGCCACACAGCTTGGCTAGCATAGCGCTGATAATGGGCCTCCTTGTCTGATTGGTCCACTACGCAGGAGATATTATAGTGCACAAGTGTGTGCACAAACATAAGAGCACTCTCTGTTCCCTCACTCTCTGATCGAATGGGACGGCAGACCGACACGAGTGGAGATCAGGCGCAGGAACAACAGCGACACGAGCTTTCTGGGGGACGAAGGTGGAGGTGGAAACACCACCAAACTTCCTGACTCCGGGCTAATAATAGTAATTTTAATCAGAAAATGCCATTATCGTCTGCCGGACCCGCGACACGATGCTCAGCAGCCGATCACTCAGCCACTGCGCCAACCGTGCAGTAATCTGCTGGACTATATCGGTGACTTTACAAACACACAAATACCCAGACGTTTTTTATTTGTACATGTTCGTTTCTATAGGCGCTTATCACTTAATTGTAAAGTTAGTTAACCTATAATTGGCAACTGTATAAGCCCAATACCTATTGTTAAATTAATATTATTATTTTGTTTATTTGATTTTATTTTTGTATGTTCAAGATTCTGTTATTATAATATTATTATTTTGTATTATAATATTATTATTCTGTTATTGTAATATTATTATTTTGTATTATAATATTATTATTCTGTTATTATGATATTATTATTATGTTACACTGTGATGTTTTTTGTTCTGATCTCTATTCTTTTAAGTTTATTATTAGTATTTTGTTTATTTTTTTATATTTTTATTTAGTTTATCTTTGTATTGTGTGCTAATTGTCAAATAAATATTTTTTCTTTCTTTCTGTTTTATAAGTTTTTTTTAATACTATGTATATGTCGCAGGCGAATTGTATCATCCGCCGTATTACAGTACGGCTAGCCATGTACAGCAGGGCCGTTTTGTGATACGGCGACTGCACGATTAGTCGTATTGTCAATGCGAAACGTTCTACAGTATGACGGCACACGTTTAACCTCATTGTCATTATTTTACAATGGATGGTCTGAGCGATCATCATCATATTGTATAGTATTAAAATGAAACGTTATTCCAATATGGCGTCTATACAAAATTATCAACATAGTTGTCCTGTCAAAATGTAAATACAAGATGGCGGCTGCACTTTTTTACATTTACTTATTTGTCATGGGACTCATGGGTGTCGTTTTCGTGGTTTTTAGGGGTGGTAAAACCGATGGTATTGTCCGAATATAAATCCTAGATGGCAGCTGCAAGAAATCTTCATCTTTTCGTCATGGGTGTCGTTTTCATAGTTTTCGAGGGTGGTGAAACTGATAGTGCTGTAGAAATGACGAAATGCTAAAAATTTTTTGCTGAACGGCTAGCCGTAATGTAATATGGCGGATTATACAATTCATCTGCGACATATACAGAAATTAAGTTACACCTATAATAATAAATACATAATGTGTGGTCGAGAGATAAGTAAACTGTATTTATATAATTCAACAACATAGTGCTGATAATAATAAGACTGACGAAAATCCAATTTGTCATCAACACTTCCATACTACAGTATAAATGTGAAAGTGTGTGTCTGTTTGTTTGTCCGTCTCTCACCGCAAAACAGAGAGACGAGTTGACGTGATTCATTTAAGTTGAGATAGATGAACGGATTGAGAGTGGTGACATAGGGTACCTACTTTTTGTCTCATTTTAACATATCCCTTCCACTATCTTCACCCTTCAAATAAGTGGTGGAAGTTCGTATGGTGGTATGGTGCATTCTGCTATTCTCAAGGTAAAAGGTTAAAAATCCGCAGACCTTCGCTTATGCTGTACCTAGAACGTCACCTACGACGGTGGATATGAGGAAGTCAGTTTCCTAATGCGCTTCCCCTCCTCCTTAGCTATCATGACTGCTTCGCAGAAGGCGAACACGGTTGCCTACTTCCCCACACCCCGCACTATAGCCTGCACTAGAGCCGAGCTTGCTTCTTTGAGGATACAGGGGTTTGTGTGTGTGTTTGTTACTCAGTCACATCAATACGAATGAAGGGACCGGGATGAAAACTGGAATAGAGATAGATTATGGTTTGAGGTAACACATAGGCTACCGTTTGCTCCCGGGAACGCGAGCGAAGCAGTTGGCAGAAGCTAGTATTAATAAGTTTAAATTTATATTAGAGTTATCAGTGTCTACGTTGGGAATTCCGTCGAGGTCGAACTATCTTGTTGTTGATAGTAGGTAGGTAGGTAGGTAGTTAATAGTACGCATGTCACCAACATATTTAAGCGAACCCGAAGCTCTTCAGAACACAGTCACCATCTCGCCATCCAGAGCAAACATGTTCCTGAGCAAAGCATCCGTCGTTCTCCTCGTCGCTTTCTTGGGGACCTCATGTAAGTCAACATTTTATATTTTACTAATTTTGTTCATTTAAATTATATTTTATTTGACCATCGTCATGATCAGCAGCCCATGAGATTCCACTGGAGTATGGACCTTCTCTATAGAAGAGGCCTTGTCGTAATCTCCACGTTTGGCAGGCAGGCTGGAGATCACAGTTCAAAAAGTTCAGATTCATCAAAGAGCGCTGTTGCCCACATCATCATCATCATCAACAGCCTATAAGTGGCTTCCGCTCACCATAGGCCTCATCTCACACGGAGAAGGTTTGAGTGTTAATTGCAAATGGATAATTACAATTTATAAGCCCAAATTTCCTCACGATTTGTCAGTGGTGTCTAAATAATGTTAGAAAGTGCATATAACTTGGAAAAGGTCATATTGGTACTTGCCTTTGGTAGGTTTCGGATTTGCACCTTCATGCATGAGAAGCGGGCGTCTTACACCTCTGGGCCCCACAACATTTTCACGAGCCACCACGACGCTGCTGCCCTGTCTCTGTTAAACAGAAAAAGTGGTTCTAAGTTAAAGCAATAAATGGATTTCATATTCCTAACATTAAAATCGATGTTTCTCCTACAGGGTCTCCAGGAGATGGATTTGTTTCTGCGAGTTCGTTGCCACAATTGAATCCCGCGAAGTCCCAGGCGCCGCTGAATACAAATTCAGACCCGATCCCAGGGTCTCCTAATGGTAACAAATATTTTATATTTTGACTAGCTGAGCCCGCGACTTAGTTCGCATGGAATAGTGATTCACAGCTCCTCCCCCGTAGTTGATAGCATACTAACATGTAGCCTATAATCGGCTTCCAAAAACATAAATCCACGACTTTAGCTATATTTTCACTTCTGAAAGTTAGCCAATGTTAACAAAAATCAGCTTACAACGGGTTTATTTATTGACTTATCGAAAGCATTCGACCTAGTTACGCACGATAGATTGTTGCAGAAATTAGAGGTTATAGGAATCCGAGGACCACCTTTACAATGGATATTGTCATACTTATCTGATAGAAAACAGAGGGTCATTATCACCAGAATTGATGAGAGTCAGAATATGATCAATTACCCATCAGAATATAAATGCATAAAGCGGGGCATACCCCAAGGTAGTATATTGGGCCCGATTTTATTCTTACTTTACATAAACAATATAGTTGATGTGACTAACAATAAATGCTTTCTTTTTGCCGACGATATTTCCATAATTGTCACTAATGATAAAAAACGTAACTCCGTTAAAGATCACGAAACACATATAAACAACACAATAGATAATATAATCAACTGGCTCGATAATAATGACCTATCCATCAATCTTAATAAATCAGTTTACGTACAATTCAATAAATCATATAACAGTAAATTTAATTTTAAAATGGATATACCTAAAATTTCGCAAGCAAACAACACCAAGTTTTTAGGAGTATTTATAGATGAACATCTAGACTGGAAAGAACACGTCAACCATGTCTGCAACAAAATAAATAAATTTGTCTACCCTCTCAAACAAATCAGAAATGTCACTTGCATGAAAACTGCGGTCATGTCCTACCGTGCGTATATTGAATCATCACTACGATATGGTTTAATTGCATGGGGAAATAGTACTGATCAAGAGAGAGCATTTATCGCACAAAAACGATGTATACGAGCCTTATATGGGATTCCACCTGATGTATCATGTCGGTCAATATTCAAAAAGCTTGGTTTGCTACCCCTACCCTCATTGTACTTATATGAAGTGTGTATATTCGTACGTAAACATAAAGAACTGTTCAAAACGGCAGAAGATGTATGTTCTAGAAGTCGACGCGACCATCACAGACTAGTACTAGAGGAGTTTCCTAAGTTAACAAAATATAATAAAAGCTGCCTAAGTATGTGTGTCCGAATATTTAATAAATTGCCGATAACATTAAAAACACTTAACCTCAGACTATTTAAAATTAAATTATATGTATGGTTAAATGAAAATATTTTTTATAGTATTAAGGAATTTTTTGAACATTAATAATAATGTATAATCTACGAGTGTAAGTTAGTTAAAATAAGTTTCAAGTTAAAATTTGCATGCTTTATTTATTAAGCAAAACATGATGATCTATTATATTGTAACTATAACATCTTTGTATACCATGTTTTTACGCAAATAAATGTCTTTATCTTTATCTTTATAGCCAAAAAGCTTTTACTATATGCGTTGGCAAATAATCAGGAAGGTATACAATGCACGTATTTATAGTTATAGATTCATTTACCTTGATTTGGAGCAGCCACAGATCCTCCACATGCTCCGAATCCCAGTCCCTTCTACACAAGACCTGAAACTTTTTGCAATATGCAACCAGCACATCCCCACCATGACTTTTTTGTACCGAGTCCGAATACCAACATCCCGATTCCTTTTTAATACACAGTATCTGTAGTGAAACTACTCCGCAGACATAACAGTGTCATCAAGCCGTGTCTCAGTGAAACATATGATATCATAGTTATTAATTAAAACTGAATTATATAACCTATGGAGTTTCTTGCTCGTTCTTCTCCATAGGAATCTACACTTTGGAACGAGCAAATAGCTTCACTAGATGACTGACCTGCAGACTGTCATTTTTTTCTTATTATTTAATATTTAAATATTTTGTTGTGACGTTCAAAAGTGCCTTCCTGGTCTAATTGAAATAAATGATTTTGAATTTGACTTTGAAAAATATCAAGAGTCTTAGTTTTGATACGTCTAACGTTCTGGTAATATATTGACAGATACATCTTTATGTCTTGTTATCCTAAACATCAGAGATAGAGCAAGTAAATCCTGCTTTAACTAACCAGCCCTGTTGGACATTAGCAAATGAGGTTAAGACTATCCCTATTCCTCACAATAATTATATACTTTGAATCTTCCAGCTTTGTTACATATATGCGTCCATTCTTAATCCAAACAAATTTGTAACCCAGCTCTTTAGTTCTTCGACGTGCTGCTGCATGTAACGTCCTTTTGGTGAGGTACAGGTGTTCCGAGACATACACAGGTTTCCTGTCACCTCCGATTCCGAGTAACGATGTGTTAAGTTTTTCTTTTGGATTAGATTTGTTGTACCTATATACTGCTGAATGAAATTCGTCACGCTTTCTTACATTTCCGAACTTACCAATAATAGCACGAGGAAGTTTACTTTCTCTATTTAATTTAGCCACTCTAGTGCATTTCACGATGTCGCGGAGAACCGAACGGGTAACCGGGGCTCCGGCTCGACGTGCAGGAGAAGGAACGGGGTGGATTTTAGTCAGTAAGAGTCTGACACTCCCTCCCGCCTCACCCAGGTGGGAGCAGTCATTCGATGATTTTCCCCCTTAAAAAAAAAGTGCATTTCACGATATCGTCCTCACCGAAACTACAACCCACCATACGGCCACATTGCTCCAAGAGATTAGGTAGGCCCTCATTCCGGTGTTCCGGCACTCCTTGTATCTCCAGATTTTCCTCAAGCAGATGTTGTTCCACATTGTTCAAACGGTCCAAGAGTTCCGATACATTCGATTTAAGTATCTTATTTTCCACTGACAGGTCAGAGTTCTATATGACTAGTTTATTAACGGTGTTTCTTATTTCGTCAAAGCCCGCGCTAACAAATTCTATAGTCCTGCGGAAATCAGACAAATCTTCCTTTATGGACGACAGTTCAGTCTCCATGATATTACAAATTATACCCGGCAACTCCGAGAGAATCACATCATGAACTTGCTCGCTAATTGCTGATACAAGCGAGTCGTCTTTTGTTTTTGGCGAGCCAGCAGACAACTGAGTTTTAGATTTTTTATTGCAGACACTCTGTTTCCTTCTGAGAATAATATTTCCCAATACAGATTGCAATGACTGCATGGTTGGTGCGGTGGCTGGGCAACCGGCTGCCGTGCAACGTGTCGCGGGTTCGATTCCCACACGGAACAACACTTTGTGTGATCCACAAATTGTTGTTTCGGGTTTGGGTGTCGTTGTGTATATGAACTTGTATATTTGTAAACGCACCCACGACACAGGAGAAAATCCTAATGTGGGGCAACGTTTTAAAAAGAAACAAAAGAAAAAAACAAAGATTCCTGTTCCTCCGTCCTCCTGATAATATCATTCTTCTTAAGATCTGCACTTTCATGCATGAGAAGCGGGCGTCTTAAACCTCTGGGCCACCACGACATTTTCACGAGCCACCACGACGCTGCTGCCCTGTCTCTGTTAAACGTTCCTTAGTGAGCCCCTACGGCACCCTTGGGACGAATCGAGGTGGCAACAGATTGTATTCTAGCCTGCCTGCTTGGGCTGATAACCGGCTCAGAAAAAGTGGTTCTAAGTTCTAAGCACTAAATGGATTGCATATTCCTAACATTAAAATCGATGTTTCTCCTACAGGGTCTCCAGGAGATGGATTTGTTTCTGCGAGTCCGTTGCCACATTTGAACGCAACGACGTCCCAGGCGCCGCTGAATACGAATCCAAACACAAACCCAGCTTCACCTAATGGTAATGAATATTTTATACTTTGATTGCTTATTGCAGCTAAGATACCTATTTACGGTACATTACTGCTTTATAGCAACTACTCACGTCACTACATTTACCAAATTGAGTAAATCATGGTCTGCACTCACATCATTCGTTGCATTGCATTCGCTAGCGATTAGTGAAGCTGGCGGGACGCCATTACGTCACCCAAGGATGTGCTGAAAATCAGCGCTGCGACGCTAACTTCTTGAGGTTTCATCATCAACAGCCTATAAATGCCCACTGTTGAGCGAAGCCTCTTCTGACTTTCTGGTTTGAGCATTAATCACCACGCTTGCTCAATGCGGGTTGGCGATTACAAACTTATAATTAGAAATTATAAGCCCAGGTTTCCTCGCGATGTTTTCCTTCACCGTTTGTCAGTGGTATCTAAATAATCTTAGAAAGTACATATAACTCGGAAAAAGTCACATTGGTACTTGCCGTTAGTAAGTTTCGAACCCGCATTCTCATGCATGAGAAGCCAGCGTCCTAAACCTCCAGGCCACCACTTATGAGGTTTAAGTCGCAGAAATTGCTGAGCATATCCTGTTTTTGCGCACGCATACATGACGCACAATATTAAGGCAATGGGATTTACTTGCATCAAGTACCTATTATAGCTTCGTATTGTTTTTATTGTAGCTAAACTTATATTCCTTTATCATCACAGTAGTGTAGCAAAACAATTTTATGAACTACTAGCTTCTGCCCGCGACTTCGTACGCGTAATCCCGTTTTCTCCCGCGTTCCCGTAGGATTTTCTCTGTCTTAAGAACCTACCCCTGACGATAACAAACACAATAAAAAAAATCTGCCAAATCTGTCTAGCTGTTCTGAAGTTATGGCGTGACAATGGGAAACCATTTTTATATAGGTACTAGCGGACCCAACCGACGTTGTCCTGCATATCCACTTGAATGTATAAACAAAATTAATTCAGCTGTTTAGGATAGATAACCTAAACATCGACTGCAGCGCCATCTGATTTGTGAATCTAAACAATTCCCAAATCCCCTTGAATACACACAAAAAATTTCATCAAAATCGGTCCAGCGTTTGAGAGAAGTTCAGTGACATACACACTCACAGAAGAATTATATATATAAAGATGAAGACTTCATTTTTCATTTTTCTTTAGCTTTGAACCTTGGTATTGTTAATTTATAATTCATCATCATCATCAACAGCCTATAAATGCCCACTGCTGAGCAAAGCCTCTTCTCACACGGAGAAGGTTAGAGCATTAAACACCACGCTTGCTCAATGCGGGTTGGCGATTTCAAACTTATAATTAGAAATTATAAGTCCAGGTTTCCTCACGATGTTTTTCCTTCACCGTTTGTCAGTGATGTCTAAATAATCTTAGAAGGTACATACATATAACTCGGAAAAGTCACATTGGTACTTGCCGTTGGTAGGTTTCGAACCCGCACCCTCATGCATGAGAAGTGGGCGTCTTAAACCTCCGGCCCACCACGACATTTGATGTGACACCACATAATTTATAATTATGTACCTTTATCTATACATATAATAAAATTGTAGAAAAGTGCTGTCTGTACATTGAAAATAAAAATATCTCTAATATTTCTATGATACCTTGGTTTACCCTCGCTTTATATTACATTTTATTAGTTTAGTTAGTTTATTAGTTATGCTATGTGTGTTCTGCGCTTCTCTCTCTTATAAATGGTGTTTCTTTCTTTCTTCATTTACATTCGAGTGTATCTAAAACTTTTGTCTGTCTCTTGGACTCTGCGATGCTCTCCAGGTGTTACTATATTGTACTCAAGAGTCTATTGGTTGTTTGTTTGTTTGAACGTGCTAATCTCCGGAACTACTGGTCCGAATTGAATAATCCTTTTTGTGTTTAATATTACTGTCATTAAAACTCGTTGTTTTTGCAGGGTACGGCTATAACTTATCTTCTCTTCAGTACTACCCACCACCACAGCGGTACAACCCACTCCCACAGCGGCAAAACCCAACCCCACCGCAGTACAACACACCTCCACAACCATACTACCCACAGCAACCACAAGTGATGTACCCACCACAACCACAAGTGATGTACCCACAACAACCACAAGTGATGTACCCACAACAAACACTATTTTACCCACAGCAACCACAAGTGATGTACCCACAACAACCACTATTTTACCCACAGCAACCATTATTTTACCCGCAGCAACCACAAGTGATTTACGTTCAGCCTCAAAATCAAGGTTCTCAGAGACCTCCGCTCATACGGACCTGGGATGGTCTCCACGATTGGGCTCAGAACTTCGCTATGGGTGGTTTGGGACAAAACCCTCTTAAATAACGTAAAAATTCAAAATCAGATGTAATTTTTAACAACCATTCTTAAATTTTAAGATGTCTCTAAGATAGGTGACACTTAACAACGTTTTGGTATTCGCCAACCTGTAAAAGACATCTAACGGTAAAGGTAATGGGATAGTCTAGGTATTCCTAACGCTGAGTAACTCTTAGTTAAGAGATGGTTGGTGAAAACGGCCAGGATTGTTTCTTAATAAAATAATATTCCATTGATAAACGCTTGTTTCTTCTTTCTCCTATTCGCTTGTCATGTGGGATTGACATTACTACCGTTGATTTGTGACAGAAATAGATATACCGGAACGTATTCGTATAAAATAAACATCTCATTTTCTGTATTATTTGTAGATATTACCATTTATTTGAATAGTAAAGAACCATGTCTAAGGCCACACCACGCTTTCAATCCACGGCACATAATGCGGTACTTTGGTATACACTCCGGGAGTCCCGACCTCTCCACAGCGGTATTTGCCAAAAGAAGTCACCCCCAGTATCAGATGTGTACAGAATACATTCTCGTTCCTGATCTGCAGAGGTCCACCGCTGTCACCCTGAAAACATATATAATTAGTTTTTGTGTACACTAATCGACAATCATTATAAATCGTGGTGGCCCGGAGGTTCAAGACGCTTCTCATGCGGGTTCGAAACCCACCAACGGCAAGTACCAATGTGAGATTTCCAAGTTATATGTATGTACTTTCTAAGATTGTTCAGACACCACTGACAAACGGTGAAGAAAATCATAGTGAGGTAACCTGGGCTTATAATTTCTAATTATATGTTTGACAAAAGGAAGTTGAAACAAAGGCGAACACAGTCTATTGAAACAGCGTCTGTGGCACCTGGCTACTATACACTTACACGTAGGACACACACACATTGACACGAAGGACATCTGTCATATTGTTAAGTCTGGTAACGTGGTAACCCATTATACACTTAACATTTTGGTGCTTCTATCATTTCTAAGTGGCATTATGTCCGATTTTCCGCCATTTTTTCAACGTTCTTCGACTGGTATTAAATTAAGATTTAGGAAACTATCTTTTCGCCATCGACCCTCACGACAGCATACCCATCGCCATCATATAGACGGCAGGCAGGCCCCAACTGTAGCTTCTGCCTCGCACAGCAAACCTGTGGAATGATCTGTCGTCGGCGGTATTTCCGATACGATACGGCCTTCAAACCTTCAAGAAAAGAGCGTATTCTTTTTAAAAGACCTGCAATGCACCTGTGGCTTCTCTGGTGTTGCGGGTGTCTATGGGCGTCGCTGATCGCTTACTATCAGGTGATCCGTCTTTTTTAAGACGTTGCCCTCACTATGCTTATCTCCTGTGTCGTGGGTGCATTTACAAACGTACAATTTAACATACACATGACACCCAAACCTGGAACTACAATGTGTGGATCACGCAAAGAGTTGTTCCGTGCGGGAATGGAACCCGCGACACGTGGCGTGGCAGCCAGTTACCCAGCCAGCGCGCCAACCGTGCAGTTGAGTCTCCTCGTTTGCCTCCTATTCCATAAAAGAACTGCCTTATACTTACTGAGCATGTGTCTCTGACTATCCCATCGTCTCCATAGCAGATTTGTGTATCATTGTCCAGCCCATTGATAAAGGTCCTATGTGTCAGATACTTGGCACTGCAGACCTCATCTGCGACTCTCCACAGAGGTATCTAATAAAACATTATCGTTACATTGGTGGTACCATGGAATAGAAAAATCTAGTTTTCTATTATAATCTCTATAAACTAAGATAAGATAGTGTCTTTATTCAGAAAATTTATTTAACTAATAGAAATAGTTGATTCCCGATCTGTAGAAATCCTACATCGCACATGTGAAGTTTACATGCGAATTAACACAAATAGAAAATCCCAACGAACAACTGTTGGGCAGAAAGCCCGCCAGACACGAACACCCCGTCTGGTCTGAGGATCCTCCTTTTCCGATCTTAGAGAACTGTACTATCTGTTCCCTAAAAAGGGGTTGGTTTATGTACTACATCAAAAAATACCTAACATTAAAAAGCGGGCTATCCGAGCAATATATAACTTACGCCGTTGCGAATCGCTGAGAGAATTGTTTAAAACGATAAATATTTTAACGGTGCCCTGTCAATATATATATGAAAATATAATGTATGTAAGGAAAAATAGGCAATTGTTTGAAAAAAGAAGCGATAGACACAATTTTAATACTAGAGGCAAAAATAAGTTAGCTATACCGCAATTCAGACTGTCCAAAGTACAGAAATGCTTTATGGGGTTAGGTATTAAATGCTATAATAAAATACCAAATAGCATACTAGATCTCAATGAAAGTATTCAGGCCGGACACAGCCAAAGAAACGTGGGTGCTCAACTTAATTTAAGTCGATCTGCGGTCTGAAATGTTTATCGGAGGTACCTAGAGACTGGCGGCTTTGTTCGTCGCCAAGGAAGGCCACGATCTCGGGTCACAACTGAAAGGCAGGATCGATTCATCGTGACGACCAGCATGAGAAATCGTCACCTTACCTCCATTGAGATACAAGACCAACTTCGCGACTTCCACGGAGTATCTGTGAGCGCTCGAACTGTTCGGAGAAGGTTAAAAGAACGCGATATGGTACCACACAAGCCAGCTAACGCGAGCCCACCTAACAGCGCGCCTTCATTTCGCACGCAGTCATTTAAATTGGACACAGCAAGATTGGAGCCATGTACTCTTTTCTGATGAGTCTAAAATTGTGTTACATGGCAATGATGGAAGGAAGAAGGTCTTCCGACGTAAGGGAGAGCGTTTCGCACAATGCTGCTTTGAAGAGAGGGTTGCTAATGGCGGTGGCTCATGGACTGTCTGGGGCGGTATATCCGCGAGCGGCAAAACTCAACTTGAGGTTGTTACAGGACCACGGCTGCCAACATTAAATGCTGTAAGGTACATTCGTGAGTGCTTAGAACCTCACATGATACGCGGACTACGCGGCCTATGTGGGCCCAAATATCCTTTTTATGCTTGATAATGCAAAAGCCCATGTGGCCGGCATCGTCAGGGAATATCTTCGGGATGTGAACATCACACCATTGAGCACATGTGGGACGAGCTAAAAAGACGTGTTAGGGTTCGTTAGCCAGTTGCCCATACGATGCAGGAGTTGAAAACTGCCATAGAAGAGTAATGGGAAATGATCCCTCAAAATGACAATGACCAAATTTTTGTATGGAGCGTGGTGCCTTTTCATTTTTTCGCGGCATTTGATCGGATATGGATAAACTAATGCAGAATAACTTTACAAACAAAAAAATGTATGGGTCTTATATCATAAACACAGTCCGAACCGAGTTAAATCAGTTCAAAGATGTGAAAATAGTGCTATATAATTCCTGTTTTTGTTGATGGTGACCGTACACAACGCATATTTCTTCATTTACTTGTCAGAAATATTTTGTAATAAATGTTTATAGATGATATCAAGGAATAAATAAAGCTTATTGTGGACTTTTTACTTTTTTTTTTTTTTATATTTGTTTTTATTTTTTTTTTTTGTTATAAGGCCACGGAATCAGGACAGAGTGCCTAGCACGAATAACTATCGCATTCGTCACGTACCTAATAGTATCGAGCGCGTTCGGAGCTCTGATTAGCCGGCTCAAGTGAACCAACCAATCAGAACGCTTAACTCGCTCGATACTGTTACTATACGAGTGCGATAGTTATTCGTGCTTGGCCCTCAGAATGAACCATTAACTGACCACTGCTGATGGAAAAAAAACACATTTCGTTTGATTGGCTAGCGTATTCAATTTATTTGTATACGGTTTATGGCCTATGACAGATTTTCATGATCAATTTCCTCTTAGTCAAAAACCCGCAAAATACTTTACTGAGCCCTATCATGAAATGCTATGTTTGTCAACTGCGGCGCCGGTAGCGGATTGAGTAGTAACAGTCGTCAAAACATGAAAAAATCATTTTTCTGTCTACTTCTCCCGACTTCCGATTAGTGACTAATCTAACTACAGTTAATACTTTAATCTACATGTAGCATAAGATTCTCGTACAATGACATCGTCATTCAGTAACAAAGTGATGCATTTCGAATAATCACATTATATAAAAAATATATTTCATCACTTTACAAGTCGACGGTTTGCTTTCTTCAAAAGATTATGCTAACTATAAAGTAGATGAGTCTCCCACCAGGAGTCAACGGCAAAAATACTTTATTAGATGTTTGGACGGCTACAACTACTCAACCCACCACTGGTACCACAGCTGACACTAAAGCTTCATGACACAACTCCTAGAAGCATCCCACAAGTTATCGACTGAGAGAAAATAGGTAATAAAAAATTAGCGACTGGCAATATGGATATATTGTGGTGTGATTTGGTGTTTCTGTGCCCGGCGTACAGTGGCGCGCAATTTGAACTTAGGAATTGTGACAAAAATATGAATAATTTGGATGAAAAAAACGAAAGTAAAATGTTTGATCCCAGCTCCTTTTAACGCTCATAACTCAGTCCAGACTGAGATTTCCATATATGAGCCCATAGACAATTTCGTTTCTAATGACATTCTAGATAATATTTTCCATAAATCATCGACTGCCGCCAGAAACAAGAATGGTACCAATTTTAGTCAATGACCTTTCATAGAGCGGTTGATAAACTCTATGCCTAATCGTATGAGAGCTGTGGTAGATGCTCATAGAGGCAACACCGGTTATTAAATTAAACCTTTATTTGATAAAATATGTTTTTATTCAAAAATCAATTGCCTTTAACAAGGCGCATAGGTATCCGATTTGTTAGCCGTAGCTCCATGTCGTATGGTATTCTGAATTCAAATTGTAAAAAATACGATCGAAAAAGATGGTAAAATGTATCAGGTTTAAAACTGCATCAACAGTTTTTGTTCAATCTAGCAATCATATATCGGTAGGGGCCATCGAAACCTAATCTCTAAGGTGGGCCAATAGATGTG